AGCCTGCCTGCATTCAGGGCGAACTTACCCCAGGGCAGGCAAGGCCCTTCTGAAGTGAGGCTGACATCAGCTGGGTCATGAAATAGCCTGGCCTCATTCTCAGGCATGCTCTGCTGGGGTCCACGCGCCAGAGAACGGGAGCAGGCCCCATCTGTCGCCTGTGTCAGCAAACCCCCACATGGGGCCACGTAGCTGGGCACCCCAAGAGCAGGGGACACTGGAGAGCTAGCTGCCCATTTGCTGCTGGTCTTGGCAGGTTGCCTCTGCCCCTCCTGGGGCTCCCCAGGAGTGGGCAGCTCAGGCCTCCAGAGCCCAGGGAGGGCAGCTGTTGGTGCCATTGTTTCTCCTGGGGAGGCAGGCGTCCCTGCTCAGGGATCAGGGTCTGTCCCAGGCAGCATCTGTGAAAATGGGGACGGGCCCTCCTAGCCCTTGCCGCTGCAGCAGGAGGAGACTTCACACCACTCCTCTGCCCCTGCCAGCAGGAAAGGCCCTTGGTGCTCATAGGACTGAGCAGGGCACAGGCTGGCCAGGCCAGCGCTGCCCCAAGTGGTTCTTTGTGCATCTCTCCACACCCACAACTGCTATGCATCTTCACCTCTCCTGGATCCAAAACTCCAAAGCAACTTCTGTGACACTTACCTGTGTTTGCTTTTGTTCTGTCTCCTGTGGCCTCATTTGCAGCCTCCCCAGGTCACCAGCCTCTCTGGGTTCCTATTACAGACACCCCTATACTTCTCAACCTCCCCTCTGGAGTATAATTGCAAATATCCCTGTTGCCCTTACAACCTGCAAGGGGATTCCTCACCTGTCAACTCATTTGCTCGTCATTTGTAGCAAGGCAGGGAGTTCCATTTTACAGATGGGGAAACTGAGGCTCAAGAAATAATGTTGCCTGCTTAGGTCTCACAGCTGGTGAGAGGTGGAGCTGGCACCCGAAGTCAGGGCCATCTTGGTCTGAGCCAGGTGTGGACTTTTAACCCACCCCTGGCCTACCCCGACTACGCTCCCCACCAGACCTCTCTTCCTGCACCCCTCATTCCTATGGGGATACTCAGTCCCTTAGTCATGATTTTTCGAGTGTTACGTGCCAGGTGCTTTGCCTGGCGTTCCTCACGTGTGTGTTGGGTCAGTGTTTCTGTCACCCCTCTGCTGCACCCCAGGCTCTGGGGTGTGAGCACAGGGAGTTTTCCTTTGGGGAGTTCACATAGCTCCTCCCCCTTCAGAGAGTCGTCTGAGCTGGGCATCCTACCCCCATCTCACAGATATGAAAAACTGAGGCCCCCTCAAGTGAAGCTGCAGAGTGGGGATCTGATTCCAGGTTGCCGCGGCCCAGAACCCTGCTCTGCCGCCACCCACAGAGCCCCTCTCCCCGTCCCATGACGGGCACAGTGCAGCTCTAACAAGCAGGCTGGTGGTCACCTGTTCAGGGCCAGCACTGCCCCACGCTGGACTTGGCCAGCGACTGCCAGCGAGCCTTGTCTGCCGAGACACTGTGTGGTCGGAGGGAGGTGGGTCCTCTTGACCTTGGCGCTGGGGTCTCGCATCGAGATCTGGGGAACTGCAGCAGCAAGGTTGGGAGCCGGGGTCCTGAGAGGGAGTGCCTCTTGCCCAGGGTCCCTCAACACGTCAAGGGCAGGACTGTGTGAGAATCCCAAGGTTTGAGCAGCGAGACCTTCCCGCGTGGGAGAGGCCAGGACCACTCCCATTTCCTGGCAACGCTGGCTCGTTAATAAAAAATAATAAAGAAATGCCAAAGCAGGGTTAGGGAATGGCAGCCGACTTTGAATTCTACATTTAAATCACAATACAGCATAATTATGCCAGTTGCGAGATAATTACAGGTTTTATAAAAAATATTAATTCATAGTGCACTGCAGGCAGTGAGGTTTGGGGGCAAATTGCCAGTTTTAAGTTGCGCGAGATGCCGGTTGTGGGCCTCTGTGACTGCGTAACCTGCTTTGGAAAGCATGGCGCAGCTCCCAAAGCGAGGCCGGGGCCCCTGCCAGTCCCCCACCCACACCTCCTCCTTGGCAGAGAGCCTGTGAGGGGGCGGACGGGGCCAGGCGGAGAACAGGGTGGGGCGCACCTTTCCTGGGCTTCTTGGTGTCTTCTCAAAGCTTCTGCTCCCTCTGCCCAAGCTGCCTGGTGCCAGGCCAGCCGGGCGCCTTCCGAGGGCCAGTTCTCCCTAGTTGAGGACACAAGGGGGTCCCGGCGACAGCCGCTGCCACCGCAGGTCCTCACCCTCACGGCTTCCCTCAGTTTTACAGCTGAAGATGGTACGCCAGGAATAGCAGGGACCCACCCGGTCCCTTGGCCCTTCAGGGTCCTCAAGGGGCTGAGACGGCGGCACTCGGGCCTCGGAGACCCGCCGGCCTGTCCGGTCTCCGAGAAGCTCTAAAGTCCCAGAGAGGCCACCGGCCCAGGGCACACAGCTGGGAGTCTCCCCGAGTCTCAGCTCTCCCAGCCTCCCTGCCGGAAAGCTCCCTCAGCTCACACTCCTGACCGGTGCAGGTGCCTCCCCCGGCCCCAGCAGGGGCAGGACTCCTCAGCACGCGGCCCAGTGGGGCGGCCCACCGCCTGCAAGCCAGGTTCCCGTCCTTCCTGCCACCTGGACACAGAATATAAATCACCCTCTGAGGCCCTAATCATCTTTCTATAAATACCAGAGTCTCATTTCAGAGGGGAGCGTGAACGACGAGCTCTTTTGCCTTCCTGACTGTGTTTAAAATCTGATTTAGAATTAATTTCCTTTGGTCGTCCGCCGGCGGACACCTTATTTGTCAAATCTCCAGCTCGTTGACGGGGAGAGGAGCGAGGTGGCCGGGGCCTCGGGCAGCTGCTGGCCTGACAGGCGGCCTGGGCAAGGTGCCCTCGGCAGGGGCAGGAGCCCCTCCTGGCCCACCGCCCGTCCCCGGCCCCGCAGACTCCGGAAGCGCCCGGGTCGACAGGAAGGGCCGGGACCCAGCCCGGCGCTGCTCCATCTGTCTCCACCGTTCATTCCCTGTTCTGCCTCCAGGTCTCGGGGCTCCCTGAGGCCTGGTGATTAGTATTCTTATTAAAGATTATTTTATTTTCATTGCTCGGATTAATCTGGCCTTGACACGTTACAGCCATATGGGTATTAGCGGAGCGCGGGAGAACTGCCCACCGGCGAGTGGCAGGATGGCAGGGCCGCCTCTGCGTCCCCGGCGGCCTGGAGGGGCTGGCGGGGGCGGCCCTTTCCCGAGGCTCCCCCACCTGAGTGTGCATCCTGGCTTGGCCGGGAACCAGGGCGCGGCCCTCACGCTCCCGGAGCCGTTTCCTTTCTGCCAAACAGATGTACGGACGCCGACCAGGCCCGAGGCACTGAGGGCTCGTCTCCCCCGCAGCCCTTCAGCGTCCCTGGACGCGGCTCCGGGATTGCCTGCGCTCGACAGAGGAGAAAGCCTTGGCCACTGTCATGCAGCCGAGGTGAAGGGTTAGACAGGAAAAGGAGCCCGGGTAGCCTACTCCCCAGTTTCCGCCCTTCACTGAGAAGGACCCAGGATTCTGGGGAGGGCCGGGGTCTCGCGGAATGAAAGCTGTGGCGTGAGCGCCCTCCCCCATCACACCACGCCCACGGCTCTGCCCACTTGACCTCCCTGCTCTGAAAGCTGCTTGGGAGTAAGACCAGCTCTGCCTTCTCTCCGGTCTGCAGTAGAAGCTCCATACATGCTGGGGAAGGCATGAGTGGGGGACGGAATGGGCCAGCAGTAACTGAGGTGCTCATGGATGCGGGGTCTGCTGTCACCCAGGTCAGCTGCAGGGTCAGCAGATACTGGCTGATCAAGTGCAAAGCCCCTTCCTCTCAGAAGTCAGCTCTGAGGCTGCACCCCAGGACGGGCCTCCTAGGGAGGGGAAGCTTCCAGAAGGGGAGACAAGATCACATCTCCGAGCTCCCAGCGCCCAGCCTCAGGGCCCCCCTTCACCCCCACTAGGGGAGAAGATACCTCAAACTGGGATCCTTCTCCTCGACTCCCCGACTGAAAAGCCCTTTCTCGTTCCACAGCCTTTGAATCTGTGAAACAACTAAGGGCATTATGGTTTCTCCCAATTTCAGATTTCTCTCAAGTTTACAGAATTTTATAAATTATCCTGATTTTAGCTGTTACAGTAAATAGAGATGATTAACATCTGAAGTTTCCAAATGAAGCTTCTCTCTTTCCCAGCGTGGGGTTTAGTGGATGGAGCTCCCGGTAAACCTCCTGCTGGTCCTTCCTGCCAAGGAGGTCTTTCTGTGGGTGGACCTGGGAGCAGCCTGGCTGGCTGCCATTTGGCCCTCCTGAACCCCTAGGGTCTCTCTCTGCTCAGAGTACACAGTAGCAGGACTAGCCGAATTTGAAAATTCCCACAAGCTTTGACAACTTCTGCCTGGGGCCAGCCCCTGGGAACTTTGAGATGAAAATAAGGCAACTGGGCCTCTCTGGTGGCACAGGCAGTTGAGCGCCGCACTGTGAAGCTGTCCGCAGCCTCTGCAGCACGGGTTCCATCCCGGCTGGCTGGCGAGAATCCCATATGGCGCAGCAGACCTCTCCTGTCACGCCCGCTGCTCCCCTCAGCGGTGTACTTCAGTCAGTCTGCCTGTTCTGCTCCCCACTCTGGTGAATCCTCTCACCCTCCCATGCATCTGGCCTGTACCCCAGCACTTGTATAAATAAAATAAATCTAAAAAAAAAAAAAGAAAAGAAAATAAGGCAACCCTGGCCTTACACAATCTGCCCACAGAACCTGTGGTCTAGGAGGAGAGTGAGACACACAGCTCGATGCGTCCAGCCAGTGGGTTACACATGGTCGTGAGACTGGGTCGGGACTGCGCAAGCGGGGACGGGCCTGGCTGCTGCTGTGTATCTGCATGTACATGTGGAGCGTGGAGAGGTCCAGAGAGGCTTCGTTGAAGGGAGAGTTAAAATGAATCTTGAGAGAGTTCAGCTGGTGGACAAAGGAAGCAGGCACAGCATGTGCAAAGGCCCTGAGGCAAGAAATAGCCTGCCAGATGGGAATAGTCAGTCCTTTGGTTGGCACTGAGGATGGGAAATGAGAGATGGTACCAAAGGTGGCTGCAGAGCTGGGAGGGAGGGGGGCTCTGAACGCCAGGCTTTATTGTTTAGGCCACACGGAGCCTAGGAGGGGGTAAAGGAATTAGACCTGGCAGTGACAATGTCAGGTGTGCATTTAGAGAGCCCCTCAACCCAGAACAGCCCCAGCCCCTGCATGCTGACTTGCTCTTGTCCTTTGGGCCACAATCCAATTATCACCTCCTTCGTGGGGAAGGTAGTGCTTCCTGCTATTCGCCCTTGTGTCGCCCTCTATTTCCTTCCCGGAGATGATGGCGGCCTCATTACTGTGTGTGCCAGCTCCTGGAGGGCAGAGACCGCCTGGGTCTGGTTCACGGCTGTGTCCCCAGGACCCAGAACAGTGCTGTGTGCAATAGGTGCTCACAAATACAGGCCTGAACAGAGGCTGCTGTGGGCATCTGGGTAAGAGATGGCGCGGGCTGGAGAGAGGCTCAGACCTAGTCAGTCCCAGCCTCGGTGACAGTAATGCAGGGGCTGAGGGGAGCGGGGGTGGGGCCTGCAATTCCTGGGAGCTTGTCCCCAGCTCTTCCAACTGGGTGGCTGTGGGGGGGCCCGGGAAGCTGTGTTTTTATCGGGTTGGCCCCCATCTGCTAGTGTGGGACCACCTTTTCCAGTCACCTTCCCGCCCACCGCCATTCCCTGTCTGGCTTTTACATCCCATGAAAGTCCTGTCTCTGGGGTGTTGGTCCCCCTGGGATGCTTAGCCTCTTGGGGCTAATGTCTCATTCAAGGATGAGTATCCTCAGAATCTAAAGCTGGAGACAGGGCGTGGGAGGGAGGCCACGATTAAGAGAGGTGAGGAGGAATTGGAGAAATTTAGGGGTGGGGCTTCTTCCCAGGTGAAAGCGGGGACTCAGGTGTCAATACTCACCTCTGCTCCTGATTTACTGTGCAACTTTGGCTCGGCCTCAGACCCTCTCTGTGCTTTCATCCTTCCATCTTCCAACGAGAGAAGAGCTGGGAGGTTGCTGGAAGTCTGCGCCTCTGTCCTCCTGGGGCCCACCGGGAAGCCCTAGGCAGAGTGAGAGCTGTCCCCAAGGCGGGCCTGGCAGCTCACCTGAAGCTGCCTTTTCCTCCACAGCTTGTGAGCTGGGCTTCTACAAGTCAGCCCCCGGGGACCAGCTCTGTGCCCGCTGCCCTCCCCACAGCCACTCTGCCACCCCTGCTGCCCAGGCCTGCCGCTGTGACCTCAGCTACTACCGTGCGGCTCTGGACCCACCGTCTGCTGCCTGTACCCGTGAGTACCACCCCTGGATCCCTGCACCTCCGACGCCAAGACTGGGCCAGGACCCCCTGCTCAGTCCCACAGGCCCCAGGGAACCGTTTCTCTGGGCATGAGGCAGGGGCAGGTGGTTCTCGGGAGTCAGAGGCCAGTCTGGACTGGGGGTGACTCTGGCCTCAGTGGTGGCCTGGGCCCTCTGGGTTCCTGGCCTCTGGTGATGTGTGACCTGCCATCTCTCCAGGGATTTTTTTCTGCCTTTCTCTTCCTTGGTCTTCGCTCTCTGCTCCAGAGACCGGAAGCTGGACTCCTGTCCTTTCCGGCGCTGGGGGGCTGCAGTCATCTTCTGACCCAGCAATGATACCAGTGTCCTGGGCACTGGGGTGGGCAAGCCAAGGGGTCGCCTGTCAAGTGAGGGGGTGTCGGGCGAGGGCCCCATCATTGTCTTCCTTGATGAGCTGGCTAGAGCTGCGGAACCCCAGGAGCTTCCTGAATGTGCGCGTCGTGAGCAGGAGAGCGCGCGGTGGCCTGGTGGACGGTGTCTGAGTCCGTGCGTGCCCGGGAGGAGCCCGCAGCATGGCGTGACTGCGAGTCCTGGTGTTTGTGTGTGTGAGTGTGCGAGGGCTTGTGCCCACATCCATGAAGGATGTTTAAGCCCTGTGTGACGTGCACATGTGCGTGCTCCTGGGCACCTGTCGGGGCCTCCTGTGCGCCCATCAAGCCTGGACTGACATGTCTTGGGAGCTCAACATGGGCACCCCGGCCCTGCATGGGGCGTGTGGCTGGAGAGTGTGATGGCGGCAGGCACATACCTGGGGGACTCCCAGGGGCTCTCTGTGCCTGCAGGGCTGCGTGACTGGCGTGGTGTTCTGCGGACACGGCTCCTCCGCTGCCTCCTCTTGCCTGGCCCGGAGAAGGCTTTCATGCTCCTGTGCCAGCTGGGGCGGAGCCCCGCCGGCTCAGCCCACCTCACTACCAGCCCTGGGCTCTTGAGGTGGGGGGAGGGGACTTCCCACAGTTTGGCAGGCTTTGCCCCGGGATTTACCCCAGCCTCCTTCCCCCACACCTTCTCCACCTCTGCCGCCTGCCACCACATTCACCACCCAGCCCCAGCCTCCTGCATGTGCCAGGTGAAGGCCCAGGTGTCTTTATACCCCCCCCCCGCAACACACATACACGTACATCACACACACACCACACCACACACACCGTCCACTCTCCTGCCCAGACCTGTGTTTTCCCCACGTGGACCCGTGGGCCGGAGGTGTAGCTGAGGGACACGCTGCCGGCGGTGGGCTCCTCAGGCTCAGCGAGCCCCGCTCTAGGTCACGGACACTTGCACTCGCTGTCCAGCCTCTGGTTTCTTGCCAACCCACAATGCAGTGCCGCCAGGCCCTCAGAATCTAAAAGAATCAAGGCTGGGCTTTTGGTATCTCATCCCCTCCAGATTCTGAGTCTCTCTGATTCTGAGATTCTCCAGTTCTGATTTCTGAAGTAAGATCTCTGGGATTCTGAGACCTGGAATTCTGTGGAGGCTGGGGGTCTCCCCAGCTCCCCAGCTCCCCAGCCTCAAATCTGCATCATCCCCCAGGGCCTACTCAGCCTCCCCCCTCGCCCCTTCTCCAAAGTCCTCCGCTGCCCTGACTGGGGTCCACCCTCTGCTGAGGGGGTGGGGGTGCTGGGGAGGCTGCTGGGCCTCTGGGCTCTCCTTTTCGCTCCACCTCAGTGCTCAGTGCTAGGTGACATTCTTGCCAGCAGCGGGGCTCAGAAGTAAAGTGTGGGCACAAATGACGCGGGGGTCACACCCAGGGTACCTGCTACGAGCGCTGAGGCAGTGCAGTCTCTCCCCTTCTCTGGATGAGAATTTTGGGCAGCACAAAGTCTAGTGGAGGGGGAGGGGCTTTGGTTTCTGGGCCCAGACCCTGATGCTGTGGCCCCGACTGTCACTGCCTCTGCCCTCGGGGAGCTCCCGGAGGCTGCACTAGGGGTGAGCGTATCCTTGGGGAGCCCTAAATATCATGGGGAGCCTCAGCCTTCCCTGGTCTCACGGGGAGAGCTGGCAGCCTGGACCAGCACAAATAAATACCCCCCAGTGACACCTCACTGTCATTCTCGGCTCCCCAGGGCCGCCCTCGGCACCGGTGAACCTGATCTCCAGTGTGAACGGGACGTCTGTGACCCTGGAGTGGGCCCCTCCGCTGGACCCGGGTGGCCGCAGTGACATCACCTACAACGCAGTGTGCCGCCGCTGCCCCTGGGCGTTGGGCCACTGTGAGAAGTGTGGGGGTGGCACCCGCTTCGTGCCGCAGCAGACAAGCCTGGTGCAGGCTAGCCTGCTGGTCGCCAACCTGCTGGCCCACATGAACTATTCCTTCTGGATCGAGGCTGTCAACGGCGTGTCTGACCTGAGTCCCGAGCCCCGCCGGGCCGCCGTGGTCAACATCACCACGAACCAGGCAGGTAGGCGGAGACGCTCCGTCCCCAGTTGCGCCGTCCCCACCTCCCCCACAGGTGGCAGAGCACCGACCTGGGGGCTTGGGTGGCCCCTCTGGCCCCACCTTCCTCGCCAGCCCCCTCCCACCCTTGCTACAGGCTTTTTATACCCTTGGAAACTAGAACCCATCCTATAAGCAGGAGGAATCCAAGCAACACAGAGCCAGGCTAGTGTGAACATCAAAGGCCTGGGTTCTAGAACTTTCCCTCTCTGCCTGTTTCCTCCCTGGTGCGATAGGATTAATAACGTCTGCCTCCAGTACTGTTACGGGGCTTAAAGGAGAGGCTGGAAAATGCTTGACCTAGCCCCTGGCCCACGGTACTGCTCAATAAACGTCATTTAAAAAATAAAATCACTCTGATGATCATTTTCTAGAACAGCTGCCACTGTTGCCCCAGGCATGATTTGGCCCTCCTGGCTTGGACAGCAGCCATTTATCTGTTTCTAGCTAGTTCTTGGGCTCAGTTCAGCCCCCAGAACCTGTTTCTTTCAAATTCTGGTGGGTCCTGACTGCCAGTGACAGGCTCACCCATGGGTCCTCACCCCTCCTAGCACCACACAGGCCTTGTCCAGCAGACACGGTTCCCTCCATGTCACAGAGGAGGAAACCGAGGTGGAGGTGCAGAGAGCCACCTGGGGGCACCTCCTTGGAAGTGGCAAAGCCAGGATTTGAACCCAGATCTGTCGTACTTCCACATGAAACAGGCCTTCCCCTTTAGGCCCAGGGCACCCATCCATGATGTCCAGAGCCAATCAGGAGCCTCTCCTCGGGCAGGCATCTGTGGAGCACCCAGAATCCATGCTCTGTGCTGGGTGCCGGAGATAGTATGGGGAATGGACTGAGATGCTGGGACTCCCCACCGGCTTATCTCCAGGGTGACTGAGGCTGGTGGGATAGAGGGTGGAGCAAGACAACCCAGCAGCATCCAGACACCATTCAGGAAAGTCTGAATTAAAGAGAAAAACAAACCCTCTCTGAAACCGCCCTCCCTTCCAGTCACCAGGCCATTTCTCCTCACATGGAAACTTCCTGAAGGAGCTGCCTAAGCTCACACCTCTGCTTCCCTTCTGTCCGCACCCTCCAGAGCAACTGATAGGTCTTATTTCCCACCTGTCCAGAGAAAATCCACACCCTCGTGTGGCCACAGGTAGAGGCGCCTTTCCTACCTGTTCTCTTCTCCTCCTTGGAACATTCTCTTGCTTTCTGTGCCCCCCTCCCCTCATTTTCTGCCCATCTATCAGACCTGTCCTTCTCCATCTTTGCCAGCACAACCTCTAAAGCCTGGAGGACCCCTTCTGGGTCCCCCTGACTCCCCGTCTGCCTACCGAGGTCTGCCTTCTCTTCTTTCCAACTCTTTTTTTTTTTAACATACCTGGCTGTGTCATTGTCTGGGGTTTTGGCTTTTGGCTTTTCTAACAGAGTGTGGTAGTGTCACGTGGTGGCTTCGATTTGCCATCCTTAATGACATGTGACATAGAGCATCTTTCATATGCCTGTCACCTGTATGTCTTCCTTGGTGAGGTCTTTAACCCATTTTATTGTTTTCCATTATTTAATGAACTACTTGTTTCTGTTAACCACCTCGGGCCTCTTCCCACCACCATCTTTATATCTCTTTGGTCCTCTCTCCCTCCTGCTCTCTCTTAACCTCAGAGTCCTTGTTTCCTCTATGAGCATCCTCTAGTTTATAGTTATTTTGCTTTGTCAATTCATCCTCCGTCATTCCTTATACTCATCTTTATGAAATCATCCAACATTTGACTTTGTCTTTCTGACTTTCTTTCCTACACATAATTCCCTGGAGTGTCTCCCATTTTGCCGTAGGTGGTGCCATTTCATGGTGCCTCGTGGCCGAGTGGTGTCCACATGGACATGTCTATTCCGTCCTCTGTCGGCGGCCATGAGGCCGCTCCCCCATCCCGGCTTCAGTACAGAATGCTGAATAAACCATATAGTGTTTTTGAGTCGATGGTTTCATGTTCTTCGGAGAGATATCTAGAAGTGAGACTGCCATGTCGTACAATAGTTTTCGTTTTTTAGGGTAAATCCTCAGTGCTTTCTAAAATGGCTGTGCCAGTCTGCATCCCCACCAACAGCGCAAGAGGGTCCCCCTTTCTGCACATCCTCTGTGGCACTTGCTGGGGGTCTTTTCAGTATCTGCTGTTCGCAGTGGGGGGAGAGGATCTCACCATGCTTCTGACCCGCATCTCCCTTATTAAAAGTGATGCTGAACATTTTTTCATGTACCTGTGTCAGGTCTCAGAGCATCCTTACCAGGGCCTCTGGCTTTGAATCCCACCTTCATACACATCCACAAGTGTGTCACCTGTGCAAGACCCTTCCCCTGAGATCCACTGCCCACTCCTATCTCCACTCAGGTAAACAACGTGCCCCAACCTGTGCCCCCCTTTGGAACTTGGCACCACCATCCTTGGGGCTACTGAAGCCCCAAACCCCAAGTTGTCATCTTTGACTCTCTCCCATGCTGCATCCACCCACCAGCCGTCCCCCAGGGTCTCCCTTCAACCTGACCTCTCCACCCTCAGCCTCCCCCTCAGTCCATTTGTCCTCTGGGGCCCCCAAAACAAAGTGCAGGCACTGGGGGGCTTAGGCTATGGGTTATCATTGCTCACAGTTCTAGAGGCCTAAAGTCCAGGGTCAAGTGATTGGTCAGTTGCTTTCTGGTGAGAACCCCCTCCAGCTGCCTTCTCCCTGAGTTCACACAGTGGGGTTAGGGGGAATGAGAGCTCTCTGCTGTCCCTTCCTATAAGGACACTAGTCCCATCATGGGCCCTGCCCTCATGACCTCATCCAACCACATTACCTCCCAAGGCCCCGACTTGACAATCACACTGCCTCAGTCCCTATCCTGAACACTCCCTGGAGTGACTTGGCCTCCTGTGACCTTCCCAGGGCTGGTGCCTTCAGTCCTCAGCTCAGCTGGCATCAGGCTCAGGGAGGCCCACCCTGACACCCAGCGGAAATGGCCCTTTGCCCTGCAGGCCCCCAGTAAGAGCCTAGCCCAGCCCCTCCCCCTGTATTCAGGCAGTCCTAGGAGGGCATGGTTAGATGCCACAAGGCTAGCAGCAGGGCTGACAATGGCCCTGAGCAAATGGGCGGGTTTGTCCTCAGAGACCACTTGCTCCTTCTGCCTCTCTCTCCTCCTCCCCCTTTCACCTCATCTTCACAACCACCTCCTCCCTGAAGCCCTCTCTGGTGCCCTGTCCCTTTTCCTTCCCTGTTCTGAGCTTTATTGCCCTCTGTGTCCATCCCACTCAACAGCACCCCCTGCCTCAGACACTTGGCTTTTTAGAGGCACCCGTGTCCTCCCAGCACGGGCATGTCTCCCACACACGGAGTCCCAGTGGACCCCCATGCCTCCTGGCATAGGTGCCCGCCAGCTTCTCTTTCAGGGTGGGGAGCCTGCTGCCCGTCCCCCCAGCACGTGCAGGCTGGGCTGTGAATCCCGCCTCCAGCCCCAGCCTGGCGGGGCCTCCCTTGTACCACGGCCCCCATCTTAACTCTGGAGTTGCTTCTTAATATATCAGGCACCTACTGTGTGCAGTCCCTACCTTAGGGCGCCCCCAAATGTGCCCAGGAGATAGGATGCCCAGGTAGGAGGCAAGCGCTGACTGCGTGGAGTAGATGGGGCACCTGGGAGGTGGCAGCAGAAGTCAGAAGGCAGGTGAGCAGCCCTGGGAGGGGCAGGTCCCTCCATCTCACACCTTCCTGGAGACTCACCTGGGATAACTGAGGCAGGGGGGAGGGAAGGAATGGATACGTAGGGGGATGGGCGAGGCCATCAACGAGTGAGGGGCAAAGGGTGACCTTGAGAATACTTGGGCGGGGGTGGGTGACGCGGAGATAGAGACAATGGTGACCAAGCCCCGGGGTGGGTGGGCCCGGCACGCTCCCTGGGACGGGCCTGGCCAGCATGGAGGAGGAGGCAGTGAAAGCCGGGCCCATCCAACTTCATTTGAGGCAAGCCAGCCCCAGCGTCCCAGAGCAGAGCCAACCCCAGTGACTGACCAGGGCAGTGGCCAGTGATTTGCTGGAAGGAGTAGAAGGCGCTGGCTCTACTCGGACCCGGGCAGGAGATCCCCATGCTGGGCACAGACCCAAGCCTGGGTCCGCAGGTGGGACCTGGGAAGGGGCGGGCAGAGCCAGCCCCAGTGATGGCCGTCTGACCCAGCCGCCTCCCCCAGCCCCGTCGCAGGTGGTGGTCATCCGCCAGGAGCGGGCGGGGCAGACCAGCGTCTCGCTGCTGTGGCAGGAACCGGAGCAGCCCAATGGCATCATCCTGGAGTACGAGATCAAGTACTACGAGAAGGTACCCTGCAGGAAGGAGGGGGCAGGGGACAGGTCGGGGGGCCCCTGCTGATCACCCTCCTGTGGGCAGGACAAGGAGATGCAGAGCTACTCCACCCTCAAGGCTGTCACCACCAGGGCCACCGTCTCAGGCCTCAAGCCGGGCACCCGCTACGTGTTCCAGGTCCGAGCCCGCACCTCAGCAGGCTGCGGCCGCTTCAGCCAGGCCATGGAGGTGGAGACCGGGAAACCCCGTGAGTGCAGGGAGCGGGGAGGGCGAGGGCGTGGGCCAGGCAGGGGTCTGAGGGGACGGACCGCAGGTGCTGAGCTGGTGCCAGTGCTGGGCTAGACACCGTCCACCACTGCCAGCTTCCCTTGGGTGTTAGTGTGACTTGCTGGCCTCACGATGCCCTTGGCCAGTGCGATACCCTGTTGTCAATCCAACAGGGTATCAGCAGCAGCAGCACCGGGAGCTATCAGAAATGCTGATTCCCGGGCCCAGAATCTGAAATCCTGGGGGTGGGGCCTAGTAAATGCGGGTCTGAACAGGTCCTCAGGTGATTCCGAGGCACGCTCATGCCCCAGGACTCCCGCCCCCACCTCCAGCCTCTCGGGGTCTTCGCTCCTTGACACTTGCTGAGGTTGCCCTTTAGCATCCCTGCCCTGCCCCTCCCCCTTGCTGTGTGGCC